CATCATGTTATCAACAATGCAATACAATGAGACCGACTCACAAACTCAATACATGTGGTACCAATATTTCTCCTGAATCCACGCCATCTAGGACCAGAGCCACCAATATCGTGAATAATTTGGTTCGCCTCGCTCCCGATCCACGCCATCTAGGACCAGAGCCAATCAACATCATGAACGACGAGGTTCACCTCGCTCCCGACCCACGCCATCTAGGATTAGATCCAACAAACAGGACTAAAGTGCACAACCTAAAATGCATGTGGTTCAACCATTCAATAAGACACACACATTGATATCTACATCCATCAATGTGACACACCAATACGGCCACCATTTACCCACACACACGACATACCAATCATACAATCCAAAGAACATCATACATCATAAGCCCCAAAAAATTAATAAACTACTGGGTTCAAAAGTATTTTAATAGGATAGAAAAAACGTTTAGCTTCCTGTAGGTTCAAATAGTGCATCAAACGGACATCCGAGTCAAAAGTTATAGATTTTTAAAGTTTTCAAAACAATTTTTTCTACAGTCTTCTTCGCCCGAGGCTCGCCCGATGAAATGTAGGCGAAACCACAACTCCCATACATTTTCCAAGAGAACTCAATTCTTCCACTTCCTTCGTGCGCTCCCTCGCCTGGAGAGGCTTGGGTGAATGCTCTTGCACGACGATGCAAGAGGCTTGCCCGAAGAAGCGTGCCAAACATCAACATTACTGTTGTGATTCCTGCACTGAACCAATCCCAATTTCTATGCGATTCCAATACTGGTCCACTAAAAAACTCATATAATTTGACACATATCTATCACATGACAACTGCACATCAATATACATGTTATGGGTATCAATTCATAGTATTATAACATCAAAATTTATCAAACTAGACATAGATTAATCATATCATCACATTCCACAAAACCCCAAATTGAATCAAAACAGGAACACACAACAACCATGGCAATCATAAACCTGACATAATCATCATTATACGAACCCTTAGAGAGTTGGAACTCCATCCTTACCTTAGGTTGAAGATTCTCAAGGTCCGATAATGGATTCTCCTTTCCCTTTCTCTTTCACTTATATGCTTCAACTTCTTTCAGAGTTCGATCATTCCAAATGATATGATTCACTCTCTATTCCTCATGTTACTACTTTAACCCTTAGACCCATATTATGATCTTCCATTCTTACTCCCACTAAACCTCAAGCAATGACTATCTTGTCCTCATTATTTCCACTCCTATTATTCAATTTAATTATTAAATAAATCTAAAAAATTATTCTAAAAATCTAAATAATTCCAACAAAATTATCCAAATTCAGAATAATTCTCATTACTACTATAATCTGATGCTACCCCATACATAATATGAACAAACCATATATTTCACCGAATAAACCATAATAAAGTGCTCATCAACGCACCAAATACGCAACATCAAATAATTAATCTATTAAAGTAATTCAATGAATAATCAGGGTGTTACGAGGATGAACGCTGAGTGCATCTTCCTCGAAAAAAATGATCAAGATATCTGACATCTTCGTACTAGCCATCTCGGGAAGGTTATCCACACTTATTACTAATTAACATGTGTATCTCTTGCGGGCAGAGCTAAACTCGCCGCCCCTAACGAATCCTCTGGTTATGGTGTTAAGAGTATAACATACCGCTTGCTCGCCACCGTCCTTTAGTGCTTCTTTAGATTTTCTCGACCCCGGGTTTCTGGCATCTTCTCACTCATGTGGGTTGCGTTGGTCTTCTTGGTTGGAGGGGCCGCCCTTCACGTACTTCTTATGGTGGCCCTCATGTATCAACTTTTCTATTTCCTTCTTTAATTGGTAGTAATCATCAATATGATGCCCTTTGACTCTGTGCAATTTGCACCATTTTTCTGGATCAGATCCCATTACCTTGGATCTTGAGGCAGGTAGTATCGGGATATTGTGTAGATGGAGCACCTCACGCCATAGTTTTTCTTGGCGGGTGTTCAAGGGCGTACAATTCTCTATAGCCTTTCCTCCCCTTTTGAATATGGACTTTTCCTTTATGGGCGAGGTGTAGCTATTCTTTCTTGAAGGATGAGAGTTTTCGACACTGGTAACACACTTCTTGGCGTCACAAGCCTTCTTTTCAGTGTTGTTTTCCTCGTCTTTGATGTAGCATCTTGCCCTAGCAACTACTTTAGCGAGCATGAGTGCATACTTTTGGGCGATGTATTCATTGAAGGGCCCCACCTTGAGTCCATTTTGGAATGCTCCCACAAACATTTCTTGGTTTGGAGGGATTTCCTTGATGGTGGCTTCATTAAAGCGGGTGAGGTAGTCCCTCAGTGATTCTGAAGGACCCTAGAGGATGTTGAACAGGATGGTGGTGAACATCTTTCTGTAGCGACTGGTAGAAAATTGGTGTATTAGATTCCTTAGTAATTCTTGATAGTTGTTGATAGAGGTACGAGGGACGCCCATGTACCATCAGAGAACGACCTCCCTAAGGGTACCTAACAACAACTTACACTTTTGGGAGTTTGGCGCTCCTATGATAGCCATATGTGTGTTAATGGAGGCAACATGCTTGTAGGGGTCTTTGCGTGCATCAAACTTAGCCAAGGATGGAGGCTTAAAACCCTCAAGAACAAGTGGCTCCCATATTTTGTCTGAGAGAGGCTAAGGATCCAGCAGTTCCATCTCTTCTAGGGGATTGACCTCATGTTGGCGTTGTCTATGTTTTGGACATTGTCTCTCAATGTTCAATTATGGTGTCATAATTCATCCATGACGGCTCACATTTATGCCATGACATAACATCTTCTATACCGCTGATACCCCCGAGAGTAGAGGATGAAGCTCTTATGTTCATCATGTCTGGTAATGGTTAGAAGTTGTAATTAAGGATATGACAAGGAAGGTGTTGGTTTTTATGAAGAGGTATGACCTAAGTTAGTTTTATCGGGGCTCCACGGTGGGTGTCACTGTACTGTCTAAAAATGTATAGGTGTGTGCGTGTTTCCCTTGTAAGTATGTGTTACTTGACTGTGTGTGTGTATGTGTGTGTGTGTGTGTGTGTGAGAGAGAGAGGGAGAGGGAGAGAGAGAGGGAGAGAGAGAGAGGGAGAGGGAGAGAGAGAGAGTTCTATATCCACTTGAGGGATAATGTATTTATAAGAGTTTCTGGCTCCCTAGGGTTTTCTCGAGAAAAGGTCGTCGCCCCCTAGTCCAGAGGTGGACAATTGAATCCCTATTTCTAAGAGATGTGTGGGTCAGTAACAACTATGATTCTCTCTTTTTCTAAGACATGTCTTATCCCATATTTCTTCTCCTCAGGGGCGAGGAAAACATAAGGGCGAGGTGACACCTCCCTTCAGGTGGCCTTGCGTAGTCGTCCTATCCTAGGACGGTCCCTAACTATCGCCCTAGGAAAGGGGCATTTTCAAATATATCATTACACTATTCAACAAGAACATTTTATCAGTCCCTAATTTAGAGGCATGCAAGGACTTTATCTTCTCTCATAATTTTTTGCACGTGTCTCATTAACAATATGATTATATACATTATGTTCTACATATTTCCGAATAAAACCACACACATGTATATGTTCAAACTCTCGTTCTTCATCAGACACATAATCCGACTTTGTGGAACTAAACACTAATAAATGCAGTTTCTTCAAAAAAAAGTCTTTCATCTTGCTCTTCGACAAATGGTAATTATAACCATTCAACAATACCATCTTCATATTTATATTTGACTCCATTATTCAAACAAGTAAAAAAATACCTAACCAAGAGCACTGACGCCACTCTGATGGGAATTTAACACACAATAACAGACCAATACGCACCAGATATAAAATTTCTCAAACTTGTAAGAACCTTGTGGATCAACAATAAATATATTACAAAAAATTGAACAAATAAAGACACAAGAGAACACCGAATTTTAACTTGGAAAACCCCTAATATGAGAGTAAAAACTACGAGTCGTCCAAACAAAATAAATAGCTCAACCAAATCTACAACTTCAGTGTGAAGTAGATATCTCTCAGCTCAGACTTTTTTTTGAAGATTAGAATAGTCATAAGGTAGACACATGAGTTGCGAATCCTCCCTCCAAATTTGAGCTCGGTCGAACGGTTAACGAAACCGAAATCACCGATTTAGTGAGTCTGATTGCAGAAAAAAATAAAAATATGGATCTCTTCTCTTTTTTCTCCTTTGTAGCTGATTTTATTTCTCTTTTTCTATTCATCTCTCAATTCTAAATTGAATCTCTACATTTAAGTAAGTGAGACAAATAATTTAATTATATTTGAATTTTTCCTGACATAAAAGAGAGCCCAAACTTAACAAACCTCTAACACCTGTCATCAATCTAGATCTATACTTCATATCAGATTCAATCCATTTTCCACTCTCTTGATTGATTCCCCTAGCATATTAAGAGAGGGAGAGAGAGAGTATGACACAACATGCAAGGCAACATATAGTTTTCCTTTAACACATTTGTACGTAAAGAATGAAAGTATAAGCAGTCTTTTGGCACACAAACACACACATACACATCGTAGTTGCATTGCATGAAAATACACACTCACACACAATAAAAACATGAAAGCAAAAGTATAGTGTCGTGTATTGTTACCTTTCTCCGTATAAAGCAAAGTGTTGCCTCCATGTCACGCTCTTAGTTCGAGAAAGTGTTAACATAATCTCTCCAACCTATAAAGAAAACCAACCTCTCCCCTTAATCCTTCGTGGTAAAAAATTTTCAATTCTTATACCTACCTCTTCTTTCTCTCTCCCTATATATTTTTCTCCCTTGTTTTTTCTTCCACTTCAATCATTATGAAATTATTATAGCCTTTTTTTTTTTTATCTTGTTCTATATGTCTTATATAGTATAGGGTGACACATCTTGATTCATCCTATATAGTGTCTCATCTATGACATAAAAATTATATAAGAAGAAAAAAGTGTTGCATATGGATACTAAAACTAGTAGTAGTTATTTTGTTTCAAGGTTTTTGTTTAGACTACTTGTAGTGGTGGGGTTTGTTTGTTTTATGTTTTTTGGTAGCTTAGTGAGTGGTGGAAGAACACTACAAACAACAACAAGTACTACAAAACATGATGATGAACAAGTTGTTGTTGTTGGTAACCATGATGCACAATTGGATTTCAATTATATGAGTAAAAGAAGAGTTCCCAATGGACCAGATCCTATTCACAACAGGTTTGTATTTTGTTTATGTCTCCTTAAACAAATTTATATTTTTGGTTTATGTTCATGTTACATTATTTTTATTTAACATGTGACACTCTATATGTGTTGCAATATAGTTAGTATTATAAGTTATAATTTATTAGTCAATTATAATAAATAATACAATGTTTAAAAATTGATTTTAGATTAAGATAGTAAGAATTTTGGATTATAACTCCATCGGTTTAACCTAGTCGAATAGAATGATTAATAACTGTATAAATAATAATAAAATAAAATAAGAATAAAAATTTTGTTGAATCAATTGTATTTCAATCCCGATTAAACCTAGTTTGATCACACTATGCTTCAAACGAGATCGAACCAACTAACAAACTAACAAGCTAATCAATTTTCAATTTATCCGATTGAATCGACTGGTTTGATCTTATTTTCAAAACAATGATATTATAAGGGTTATATAAGTGAAAACTTAAGTTAAAGTAGTGCTTTATGTTTTTGAGTTTAAGTTTGATGTGAGATCAATTATATGTTAGTGTTTTGTTTTTTTGTTTGGTTTCTTTTGTTGCTATCATATATGTAAATCTTTCTCAAAGTACAATACACATATACTATGTCTAATTTTGAATTTCCTTAACCCTACTATATTGGAATTTGACCAAAAAAGGAAGAAAGCTAACTATGAAGATTGATTATTATGCTTTTAACTGTTTCATTGAATTGTTGATTTAACTTCTTTTTAACAAGAATAGTCCTTTATAATAGGTTAACGGATAAAGCTATAAAATAAAGATAAAGTGTAAGTTAAGAACTTTATTCCACTTCTTAATTAATCATAAGCAATTAAAGTTATTTATGTCATTCTGTTTTCTCTGAATTGAGAACTTTTTTTTTATATATTTCTCTGTTTTCTTTCTTTTGATTTTGCTTTATTTCTTTTAGCACAAGACATAAGCATGCATGAAACTAGACTTACTATGAAAAGAAGCCATTTCATAAATTTTCTATGTACCAACAATGAAATTTTTTTAATGGTAATGTTAACATATGTTTTTAGGGTACATATTAAAAACTAAATAAAAAAAGTTATCTTTAAAATTGTATATTAAATTTATTATAAATAAATATTTTTTATTTTTTATTTTATTTAAGATAAATTTTTTAATGATAGGTTTTAAACATGTGCCCTAAGAATATATGTTAACATTATTTTTTTTAAATGAGTGAATCTTATTATAGTTTTCAACGCAATATTCATTACTTATTTTTCAACTTTAATTATCAATTAATAATACTTTTATCACTTTAGTTAAGATATTTTATTATTTAATAAATGTTATTTAATAAAAATAATATTTTTTATTTATTTATTTACATATGTATGAAATATTTAAATCCCTCAACTATTTAAGAATTGTAAATAAATTTTTAAATTAAAAGAGTTTGTAGTTATTGATGAAATTACAAAATATGAGTGTGTAAACTGCGAATTATTAAATAAACTCTTAGATTAAGAAAAATGTTATTTTTATACTATATCTTATATTTATACTGTATTTTACTATTCATCAATACGGTAAACAGTGAAATATTATAATAATAAAATATTTTTTTTATCAATTTTTTCATATATAAAATTACGTGATTAATCAATTTTATAAGTTTATTAACCAATATTTTAAATATTATTAATCAATTTCATATTTATTAAAAATCTAAATATTTATTAACCAATTTTATAACATTATTAACCAATATTTTATATTATATTAACTAATTTTGTTTTACTGTTAAAACTATTTTTAATATATGACTGTTTATTAACCAACTTCATCACTTCAGTAATTAATTTTTTATATTTCATTAATCAATTTTAATTTATTATAAAAAAATCATTATTCATATATTATTTTTGTTCACGAAGCACTATTCATATACTGTTTATGTCACTGTTCATTATACTATTCACTATTATATTATTTGAGACTTAAGAGAGAAAAAAATCCAGCCTTCATATAGTCCACATATTTGTCAAAGCTGTTGATTATTATTTAATTGATATATTTGAGTATAAATGAACACTACCATCGTGTGTGGCGTAAGAAAAATGGTAACAATTTTTATAATAACAATTTTAAAAATCTTATTTGGTAACAATTTTTCAGGAGAGCTGGAAATTCTGGTAGACCACCTGGTCAAAGTTAGTGAACTGAGAATCATACAAGCTTCATCATCAAACATGCAGAAGATGATAAAAAGGGCTAATTTTTGATTTATTATGGGAAGAGAAGCTTGTGTCCCAAAGAAAATAAGTTCAAAAGAATCCAAAATTTGTTTCATGATCACTTTGTACAAAAACTGCAATTTAATGAGTGTTACATTTTTATGTTTTTGAACTTATCTTATCAAGATGGGGTGGAGCTAGAAAGAAAAGTTAACACAAATTTAAAGTTTAAGAGGAGGAAGATTTGTGTGCATACCAACCATGATCATAGTTTTAAATTACAATTACGATCATAATAGGTCAAATTTACAGTTTTCAGTAATATTATCGACAGTGCGATTGTAATTTAAGATTATAATAGTTATGCATATCTGTTATAACTATGTTAGGAGAAAAAGTTTTTGGCTTTAGTTTACTTTATATTAAATTTGGAAATTCTGTTTTTTTTTGTTGTAAAGATTATATGAGTTCTTAAAGTAAAAGTAAAAATTCCACAATTAAAAGGTATTGGGGAACATGTAAAAGAAGAGTGTTTGCATTTTGTGTTAGTCTTTTTCACTAGATTCTTTTGTGAGGGTAGTGAAACTGTCATGTTGGTTTTTGGTCCATTCAAGCATTTTAAATTTTATTAGATTCTATAGTGAAAAGAATGAAATTGTGTAATGAAAATGATAAAGGAAAAAAAATATGGTCCTCAATGTTTCAAAGTGAAAATTAAAAGATGCTCTCCCTCAACTCCAAAGGCATTTTTCTTGTTTTTCTTTATATTGGATAGAGAAGCAAAGAATGTGTGCAAAGCCAGTGAGATTCAAATTGAGACGTTTACCAAAAAGGAAAAAATAATTTTGAACTTGTTCTTCCTTTACCCTTGAGATTTTAAGATATGTAATTAATGCTAAATAAAATGATAATAAAACAATAGTATTAATTCTCTTTGTTGACGAGTACATTCTTGTAATTAGAAGTGCTCCATAATTCCATAACTTTGTCAATTATCAAGTTGATGGATCTATACTACCAAATCACAACAGAGAAAAAAAGTTCTTGTACAATTGCAAATTTTATGTGTGAGTTGGGTCATTCTTCTATAGAAGATGTATTGGTGCATACAAGAAGGAAAGCAATGTAAAGTGTTGAGGCATTGTCATGATTCTAACTATGGTGGCCACTTTAATGGAGATAGAATTGCCGCCAAGTACTGCAATCAAGGTTGTTTTAGCCATTGATGTTCAAGGATGTATTCGCATATGTTTAGATGTGTGGTCGCTATTAACACACTGGAAATATATCTAATAGAAATGGAATTTCACTAAATTTGATACTGGAAGTAGAAAATTTCATGCGTGGGGATAGGGAAATTGTTATGTCGGAAACAATGTGATGTTATATGTGTTTTAATATTCTGTCTCATTTTAGATATTTTTTTATTTATTGTTTTTTGTAATTAATTTGTTCTTTTAATTTTGGACGACTGTCATATCTCCCTTCTTTGGAACTACATGCACCAAACTCACCCAAAAACTATCAGAAATAGAGTAAATCATACTTTCTTCGAGTAACTCGAGTACTTTCTTTCTCACCACTTCTGTCATGGTAGGATTTATTCTCCGTTGAGGTTGAACTATAGGTTTGAATTCTTCCTCAAGTTTTATTTTGTGCAGTAATTGGTTAGACTTATTTCTTTCAAATCAGTAACACTCCAACCAAGTGCTTATTTATTACCTCTTAGAATTCTCAAGAGCTTTTTTCTCTCCCAAATAGATATCAAACTACTAATAATAACTAGTTGCAATGGTTGCTATCCCAAATAAACATATTTCAAGTGTGGTGGAAGCTCTTTCAATTCAAGATCATTAGAACTTTTGATCAAACTCTTGTGTTCACTACCACCAAAATCTTTAGTCTTTCTTATTGTTCTTTCAACTTGGGTCGCTTGCAACTGAAGCACACAATCCATTACTTCTTTGTCTAGTTTTTCTTCAACCGCTTCAATGGAATTAACAATGACTCTGTCCATCGGTGATAATGGTTATTCTTCCGCAGATACTTCCTGAATGATTTCTTCCACTACATCAACTATATACCATTGAGGATTTTACTTCTGATGTTTTATGGCTTCAAATACATTAAAAATGGCTTATTCTTTTTTTAATCTCAAAATAAGTTCTCCCATCTCCGTATCAAATCACAGCTCTACATGTTTCTAAGAAGGGTCTTTCTAACAGTAATAGTGTTTTAGAATCTTCTACCATGTCGAGGAGCACAAAATCAGCTGGAGCAATAAATCATCTACTCTCACAAGCACATCTTCTAGAAATCCATATGGGTAAGTAATGGATCGATCAATTAAAGTAAGATTCATATGAGTTGGATTTGGTTCCCCACAATTCAACTTCCTCGTCATAGATAGAGGTATCAAGTTGATACTTTATCCTAAATCATATAATGCATGACTAATTTTTAGTGGACCAATAGAACAAGGAATGTAAATAGACTTGAATATGTTAGTTTAGGTGGCGGCTTGTGTTAAATAATGACACTACACTTTTCTTCTAAAGCAATATTCTCATCGTACTTCAGTTTATGCTTTTCGGTCAAAAGATCTTTCATAAAATTTGTGTATACTGACATCTGCTCAAGAGCTTCAAAGAATAGACTATTGGTATGTATCTTTATAAGCATCTCAATAAACTTCTTAAATTGTCCCAGTTTCATTTCTTTCTCTGGTTTCTTCTTCAAGATTATGTAAGGTGGCTTGCCATATCATGGTAGTTTTTAATTTGGTTCATTGAGGATTTGTTTCTTAGTTCTTCTTAAAGGAGAGTTCCAATCTACGAGCTTACCAAGAGTACCCCCTCTAACAAAGTCTTCTCTAGATTACTCATATTTTTCTTCCTCTGATTTTTTCTCTCTTTCTCTCTCTTTTTCAACTTCTCCTTCTTCAACTACTTCTCATTCTTCATCCACTACTTCCTCCTTTTGACTTTTCCTATCACTTACACTCACTTCTTTTTTGTCACCACTAGCATTAAGGATTGAAGGTGCTGCTCTATTTCTCAGCTCGATGACTTTGCAACTCTCATTCTTTGGGTTAAATACGACATTCCCATGAAAACCCCCACTTGAACTAGGTTATGCTACTACTTGTCTAGATAAATGGCCAATTTGCATCTCTAGATTTTTTATGGACGCTTCAATGTTCTTACTCATAGTTTCCTGGTTCTTGGTTATGGATTTTTTATTCTTGCTTACTTGCTAGATATTATCTTGAGTCATTTTCATAAATCCAGCCATATCTTCTTCAAGTTGAGATGGTTTTCTTTGTGGTGGTGCTTGTGGAGTTTGTTGAGCACCTTCATTTGCATTTAGACTTTGATTGTTTCTCCACTTGAAGTTGGGATGATCTTTCCAACCAAGATTGTAGGTACGGGAATATGGATTATTTGTCTGTAAATTTGAAAATTGAGCTTCTTCACTAACCCCCTATGGTACACACTTGCCATTAGCATGTATTTCTACACATAAATCACACTGTAATGTCTGAATCTGACTAACAATGGTTGGAACAATGGTGCCCCTAACTAACTATTTAGCAATTACCTCTAATTGAACTAAAACTTTAACATTGGAATCTAATTTGAGTACACCCTTTGGTTTAACTCCACTTTCACTTTGGGATCGATACTCATTATCGAACATTTTCTCTATTAACTCTTTCACTTCATATTTATTCTTTATTTTGATGGTACCTACAACTGAGGCATCCAGAAGTATTCTTACTTGAGCTTTTAAATCTCTATTAAAATGTTGCATTTATTCCATACTGCTCATGTTATGACTCAAACATCTTTTGGGTAATAGTTTGAATCTTTCCCAATTATAAGATATGGATTCAAAATCACCTTGTTCAAAGTTTGAAATATCGCCCTTTCTTTCCACAAACTAAGTTTTCGTGAAAAACCTTTCCAAAATTTTTTCTTCCCGCTCCTTTCATGTCTAAATAGTCCCATTGGGTAAACACTGCAATCAATCTTTAGCTTTACCTATTAGAGAAAATTCGAGCAACCATAATTCAATCTGATCAGCGGTTACTTCATCAGGTTTGCACATCAAACGTGTCTCGTAGAAGCGAGATAGATTCTCTAAAGGATCTCTCATATCTTGTTCGTCGAATGAGTTATCTCTCAAACCTAAAATCACAAAATTATTAATATCAAAAGTAACGAGATTAGTAGGTTAAAATCCCAAAGAAATTTATCCAACATTAGCTCTTCTGCAGTAGTCTCTCGTTGTTTGTCTTGGTGGAATTTCCATTTTGTGTTTCTAATGATCACTTTCATTATCCGAATTGTTCTAGCAGTCTTTTCGATCACTGAATCAAAGTGGTATATGGGTCGTGTTTGAACCTCTCATAAACAAGTATTACACCAAACAAAAACTTGATAACAGTAGAAATAAAAATGAATCTAAAAGTAAATGAAATAAAAATAAAATTAAACAAAATGTAGTACAAAAATGCCTTGTTGAAATGATTCAACAATCTCCAGCAATGATGCCAAAAACTTGATAGATACTTAGCATGTGTACTAAATCTTATCGAAGTATTTAAAATACGTGTGTATCCTTAGGGATTATGCTATTTTAACAAGAAGGTTCACAGGCTATTGAAAGTAAAAATTGGGGGTTTGCAAGATTTGTTTTGATAAAATAAAAGTGTAAATAAATTGTTGAAAACTTGATCAGATTAAAGGTGGTTAGGCCTTACTTCGAATCCATTTAATGTCACTATAGATGATGGTGTCTATTTTCCCTAAGTTGGTACCTTATTGATTTCAACAATTTAAATTAGTCGTTATATTCAATTCCTTGGTATATAACTCACTCTTCTACACTACAACTCCCTAATTCCCCTGATCATATGGACAGTTAAAACATGCAATTTTCAGTGTGTTAAATCATGAACGATTTAGCCTTGGAGCTT